CCACCCATGCCCCTCTATCTAGTTGCAAACAACGGAGGTCGGCACGTCCGTCCGTCCGGCGGCCCGCTACTTACTTGCTGGGCGGCTCCGTCTTGACGACCAGGAAGGGCCGACGCCGGTCGTCCGCCGTCGTCTCCGGCCGGAAGAGGGTGACCTCGACTAGCTCCCCGCAGCCTGAGCAGTCGACGAGCAGGCGCAGCCGGCCGCGGGACCCGGAGCCCTCGGCGTACCAGTGCTGCACGGCTTGGGTCAGGTTGATCTTCTTCCAGCCCAGCTCGCTCAGCGAGACCGACAGCGAGCCCGCCATCGAGGTGTATGAGTCGAAGTCCTGAGGCAAAATGAGCGAAATTTGAAAACACTTATGAACACAAGTAATCACATGACAAGTTCTATTTATAAAAGCAAGAGTTCACGAATCCCGCCTGCACTCTAAATGACGAGGGACAATTTTGTATCCAGCGAAGACTGTTCTAAAGCACATTTCAATTGGATGCAAATTTGTATCTGAAAAGTAAGCTTAAGTACAAATAACTTTTTTTCGTCTGAGTTTAGAGACAAATTGTTATCCGCTGGAGATGTGATTTAAGAATACACCCTCGCTGCACTGGAAAAACAAACGTTACCGAGGTAACGTTTCTTGACGCGACCATACCAGGTAACGTTTGGTGATGCAACCAGTTTGTGATGGCCCTATCCTTTTGCATGGGGTAGGTCGCATCAGGAAACGTTACCGGTCTTGGTCACATGATGAAACGTTACCATGGTAACATTAGTTTTTCCAGTGTGGATACAAAAAGATTGACCTTTCCATTTAAAGTGTGCTCGAGAGATGAAGCTCACAGTTTTTTTTTTTTTTTTTTGCCTGGTCTAACAGAGTTGTTTTATCTCACCTCGTCACTGACGTGGCTGGTGTTGAAGTGCTTGCCGTGCACCCGGAACACCCAGAGGGTGAGGTTGCGGTCGGACAGCTTCCTGCGCCGCGAGTCGCGCACGTCCACGCGCACCCACAGCGTGGCCTCCTGGATGGGCAGGCCCTCCTCCTCGCGCGCCAGCGAGAACTCCAGCAGGGTCTGCCCGTTGAGCGTGTGGCCTGCAAAGTCCATATAGATAGCTGTCACTTATTTCAGTTGAATTGTAGTGCTCTGGCCGGCAGCCAGGCCAGCAGCGCCCCGGACCCGCCCCCGCAGCGAGGGGAGAGGGGAAGGGGGGGGGGCGAGAAAGCAGCGCCAGCCGGACGCAGGGCTGTGGCATCGCATGCCAGCAAGTCCCCTGTTTGCCGCCACTCCCCGGCCCCCTCGGTCCCCAGTCCCTCCTCCCCTCCACCGCCCCGGAGGAGCCACGTCCCGAAGAGCAACCAAACGCCAGCCCCGACACAAACAGGCCGGGGAGGAGAGGGCGAAGAAGAAATAACAGAGAAGGTCTGTCAGTCAGCAATCCGTCAGTGGAGGAGTTCATTCCGCCGCATACACTTGCGAGCGTGTCGCGCCAGC